CAGCAGCAGAAACCCATTTTGGACTCTTAGTGGATGTGATGGAAAAAAATGGGGAATTCGGTGATGCTTTAACCCTTTCTGGCTCTGTGTGGTGCTTTGTCCTTCCCTGGCTACAGCTTCTTTCGAGGGTTTGCCCTAGGGTTTAGTTTGTCCCTGCACAGGACTGTGGATATTTATTTCTGTGGCAAACAGTGCCTTACTGAGGCTATTGTTTATTGATGGTTCCCAGGGTACAAACACACATGTCTGCGTGGCTTCAGCTCTATAAGGACGGGAGGAAGAAACTCCAGGAACTTATTTTGTTGAAAGCATTGTTTAGAGGTCTTAGAAAAAGGCCACCGAATTGCAGACATTGCTGAGAGTGGAACCTGTGTGATTTTGCTCCCTTCCTTTCTAACGTGGGAAGAGGCTGGTACGTTGAGAGACCATATTTTTGGGATGCAGTGAGAGATTTTACTGGCTCACCCAAACTTGTCGAGGGCCAGATGCTGCGGTAGCTCACAGAGTCCTTCACCCACATCGGGTCACCTCTGTGATAAGGGGGCTAATTAGAGCAGCAGAAACCCATTTTGGACTCTTAGTGGATGTGATGGAAAAAAATGGGGAATTCGGTGATGCTTTAACCCTTTCTGGCTCTGTGTGGTGCTTTGTCCTTCCCTGGCTACAGCTTCTTTCGAGGGTTTGCCCGAGGGTTTAGTTTGTCCCTGCACAGGACTGTGGATATTTATTTCTGTGGCAAACAGTGCCTTACTGAGGCTATTGTTTATTGATGGTTCCCAGGGTACAAACACACATGTCTGCGTGGCTTCAGCTCTATAAGGACGGGAGGAAGAAACTCCAGGAACTTATTTTGTTGAAAGCATTGTTTAGAGGTCTTAGAAAAAGGCCACCGAATTGCAGACATTGCTGAGAGTGGAACCTATGTGATTTTGCTCCCTTCCTTTCTAACGTGGGAAGAGGCTGGTACGTTGAGAGACCATATTTTTGGGATGCAGTGAGAGATTTTACTGGCTCACCCAAACTTGTCGAGGGCCAGATGCTGCGGTAGCTCACAGAGTCCTTCACCCACATCGGGTCACCTCTGTGATAAGGGGGCTAATTAGAGCAGCAGAAGTGGGAAATCACTCAGTTTCTTTGTTAGCTCTGATGAGGTCTGAATTCTTTCCCCTTCCCAGCCCATTTATTTTACTTAGATGTGAAGTTCAAAGCCAAATGGATGCTATTTAGGGAGTATTATTACATTACAATGTTAGCGTTATGTATAGGTCAGTTTTATTACTTTTAATAAAACCAAGATGTATAAAACAGTAATGTATCTTAGTGCAGCATTACCAATGACAACAATTAAAACAGAAAGGCAAATGAAAACTAGATGTAAATATGCAGTTTCCTACTGCAATGTTAATTTTGTCACCCTGCAGCCTGTATGATTGTGGCATTTAGTTTTATTGCATCAACAGGAATGCAGTCAGCTTCAGATAATGATAAAAGCCCTCAAAAAGAAAATTCAAGATTCTAGTTCTGGAGGGTGGCAGCATTCGTTTAGACTATAGGGACTAAACTTTTTTTTTTTTTTTTCATGTATTTTGATTTTCATGTTTCTCTGTAACATTTACTATAGGTATGCTCTTTTCTTAAAGTTTAGGAAAATATTGATTCAGCAACAAGGAAGTAGTAATACTGGCATCTTGGGAACAAAGCATGCCAAATTCAGAAAGAAATCGTGTCACTTCCACTGATAATAAGAGATTATGTTGCACCCAGAATCACAACTGGCTGTGACTAGTTCTCAAGAAAAAAAAAAAAAAAGAGGATTTTTTTCCTGAATTTGAATATCCTGTTTCCATCAATTATAATATAATGTTTCGTTAATTCTTTGTTTTATTTCCACTTCACTTTCCAAAATTCTTCCAGAGTTTACTATTTGGGTTGAAAAAGCATATTTTTAAATTGGGCATAACCAACTTCCATATAAACATTTGGCAGGGAAATCAGTGCATGTTCACTTAATTCATTTTTATTGAACCAAGTCCAGATTTTTAGTCAGGAAAAAGTTAGATATTAATCATATCTGAGCAGGATCATTAAATTTTCCTTTACCTACTAGAACAGCAGGGTCATTATAGAACCATGAGAAGTTAGCTCACTTATTAATCTTTACAATTACATAAAAGTGATCATTTTTATAGTACTTAAGAGTAGCTCTTACCCATTATGTGAAGAGTATGTGGGAATATTACAATATAATATAATGTATTATTATAGATGTGACCTGTGACTCATTGGTCTGCTCACTGACACACAACTGTCTGGAAAAGTTATCTGTTTGAGCTTGGATAATCTTTAATTGTTTCATATTCCTTGTGCTCATTTACAGGGCATGCTAGTAAATAGAGAGCTAGTCACTGAGTTATTAATTACCTCATTATTACTTAATTATCACTATTGCATACTTCATTTTTATGGAGAATTATATCATAAAAGAAGGTATTTTATACTGCCCACCACAGTTAAGTATGAATGACAGTGATAGCTAATGTAAGATTGAGTTAGTTAAAGAAAATCAATCAGAAATCCTCACTATAGATCACTATCCGGTTTCTTCTGCCTTTTCCAGCAAACGCTTCTCATCTTTGACTTTGAAACCCAACAGTTTAAACTGGGTTCTTGTTTCAGTGGACTAATCCCCTTTCATAAATCATGTTCAAGTGCTGAAATAATTTGCACATCGTTTAAAGAGTATTTGCTTTGAAACATTCACCTCAAGCCCTTTTGTATATCCTTTCTCTCTAAAGATTTGTAGTATTTGTTTTGTTCTCTGAGGTATAAAAGACCTGGGTAAACTTTATT